GAAGTTTTTAAAAAGAGCGACCAACATTGCAAAGGTTGCTATATTACGAAAAACTGCCATGTGATTATCATTTTATCGGCGATGAATTTTCGATAAACTGGCTCAAATCCAAAATAAAGAAAGAAGGTCATAACGCGTAATTCAGCTCCATGTATAGTTAGTTTTATCATTCATAAGCTGGTTAAAGTGATAACGTATTGTTAATCTTAGAAATAGACCAAGTAAAAGCTCACTTGGGAATCACTAAAAGTGTCCGCGTCCGCTTACGAGAAAGTCCGCTTAATAGAAAGCATAAATACAGTGTTTGTATAGGAGGAAAAACGGGGTTTTGAAAATCTGTCCGTAAGTAGAAMKGTCCGCTTACGGGAGCGTCCAAAAGTAGATATTCGACTGTATATAATACATGTATRCTAACGTTTGGTTTACTTCTTGATTTCAAGCCACATAGAAGTTCTTCAGTGACTCAGCTCGTATGCTTGTGCAACCATTTAACTTCGTTTGGAAGTGATTTGGTGGTAGCTYCTAATGCAATTGACTTAGATGACGTTGCAGCTGGTTTTGCAAATCTTGGTGAAACAGGCAACTTTTCAGTGCTATTCACCATTGTTGGATTATTTCTACTGTATGCTGTTCTGGTGGTTGTSTGCAGAAGAGTTGACAAGAGAAACCTCCTTTTGGTAAATATAGTTGTTATCGCATCCTAAGAGATCATGCAATTGTGGAATATGTTTTGCTCAAAGTTTGTCCTTTGTTATAACAACCAATTACACGTAATAAGTTTACATTGGAAGGGCATTCGGTTGACTTTGTCAACCTTTGTTAACAGCGAATATTTTAGGAATTTTCAATCCAAAAGATTTAATTTCCAGTTACGTTAATGCAACTTTTATATATTTATTAATAACTATTAGTAGTAGCTTCTCAATGTGTAGCGCCAAATTGACTARTAATTTGACCGGCAGTCAAACAATTCAGAAATTGAAGTATTCTTTAAGTTTAAATGTTACTTTCATTTACTAATAATTCATCACTAAAATAATATTTCACTAGAAAAAGGAAATATGGCTGTAGTGCTTCTGTCAGTTGTTTATATGTTAGTTGAAGCTAGCTGTTTTTCCTAAGGTTTCCAAGCAAAGAATCGGGTCCATAATGGAAAAGGGATTCAATTACGAAGTTACCGTGTCTACTGGTACATTTCGGGGGTCAGGAACAACATCTACCGTAGCGATGATAATKTATGGCGAMAAAGGCAATACACAAGTCATTCCTCTTGTGGACGCAGACGGTAACTCAAAGGAAATCCTGTCACGTGGTAACGTTGTAAATATCATAATCAGTACACCAGAAGACCTTGGTGATATCAACTGCATTCGAGTTTGGCATAACAATAAGGGTAAAAGTCCATCATGGTTCTTGAGACAAATCAGTGTAACTGAGGTGTCAACAGGCAAAAAGTGGTTGTTTCTCAACAATGATTGGTTTGCACTAGACAAAAGTGACGGGATGATTGATCGAAACCTATATGCTGCTTCTGAAAGCGATAAAACGGAATTCAAAACACTTTTTTATTCCCATACAGCCAAAAGCTTTAGTGACAAGCATCTATGGATCTCGGTTGTCCTATGCCCTCCTGCGAGTAGCTTTACTTGTGTCCAGAGAATAACCTGCTGTTTCTCACTACTATTCACTGCAATGTTGGCTAATGCCATGTTTTACCAGAATGGTGCTGGTGATTCTRATTCGATTCAAATTGGACCTTTCAAAATCAGTCTTACACAAATTATCATCGGTATACAAAGTGGTCTAATTGTAGCCCCTGTAAACCTTCTTATCATGACTTTATTTCGAAAGTCCCGGCCAAAAAATAAAAAGATGCATCAGCATGACTCTAAAGGAAGAAATACCTTCGGGAATSATGATAACAAGGCTGAGAATACTGAATCTTCAAAAGACAAAGACAAAAAAGGCAAGAAAGAAGGCTTCCCATATTGGGTCGTCTACGTTGCATATGTGATAAGTGCTTTGAGTGTTCTCGCCTCTGCGACAGTAGTTTTATTTTACTCCATGATATGGGGCACTGATAAGTCAAACGGATGGATGGTATCTGTATCTCTTTCGCTTTTCCAAGATATTCTCATCGTTCAGCCACTGAAAGTGTTTGTTCTTGCTATGCTTTTGTCTTTGGTCTTTCGGAAGCCTCCTGAAGAAGAAGTCAACAACGACTCATATCAATCAAMCCCAAAAAGTGAAATTGATAACAAAGTATYAAAGTCTTCGGCTGGCTCAAATGTATTTCATMGGGAGATTGACYTAAATCCACTGAGTATCGAAGAAGTGGAAAGCGCCAGAGCTTATGAAGTTAAAAGGAACATAGTAAAATCCAGCTTAAAAGAAATAATTCTCCACTGTATTTTCGTCTTGCTTATGTCRGTCATTTTATTTGGTTCACAATCATCTCATCGATACCAAATTCATAAGCATCTCAGTGATGTATTTTCAGGAAGTGAATCGGTAAGTAATTCCTCGGATGGGGAGTCMTGGRMCAACACAGGGCTCCCACATTTATGAATTCGTGCGTCTATCCGAGAAGGATCAGGYGTATGACTTCCATATATGGTTGTGCATTTACTTGGAACTGRTGTACATGTTGTAGTTCAGGTTCAATATGATTTTGAACCAGTTCAATTTCTTCTGAACTGGTTCAGTTTATTTTGAGCAATTCCAATATCGCTAAATCCAGTTCAAATCAGTTTTGGGTTTAGGTTCAGGGTTGGGTTTAGGGTTAGGTTTAGGGTTAGGGTTAGGTTTTGGGTTAGGTTTAGAGGGTTAGGTTTAGGGTTAGGAATAGGGTAGAACCAACATAATGATAATTTTCTTCATGAATAAATTATTATAATAAAAACAATTTGCAAACGCTACAACCAACGAAATCCTCGATGGTATAATTGGTAGTACCATGGACTATCAAGCAAGAGTTCAGTGGTTCAAACCCTGATAAAGGTAAGTGTTATTCATATAATCAAAAATATAGAAAATATCAATATTTCTGTAGGGTATAAGGTAAGATAAAGTAGGAGATTGTAGAATATAGAAAATAAGATCGATAGGAAATGGGAGAAAATGAGATGGGATATAGAGGAAGCAAATTGGAAGTTGCTAATTTACTTCTATGCAATGCGAAAAAAAGGACCATTTCAAGAAGACTTGGACTGGAACAAATTAGATTTAACTGGTTCAAAAAAAATATTGAACCTGAACTACAACATACACATTGAAGGCTCTCATGTCCCTATTACTTGCACTTAGAAAATTTTGAAAGACTTTCTTTTTTTATGCAAATCATGTCAAAAATGATCCGTTTATGTTATCCTATAACGTCCATTTTCACATAATCTCAAAAAATATTCTCAGATATAGAGTACATTACATGGGCACGTTTAAATACTGACTTTGTCTTTGAGTGTTGAAAGGATCTCTCACTAGTGAGTTCAACACGAGAAGATAAAATCCGTATCACCAAGCGACCATGTAACATTCTGTTTATCCTATAATTATCTATGAAAGCAAATTAAAAATAACTTTTTGAAATAACCTTTTTTATCTCAAATATATAAAGGTACTACGAATGTGTTATCTCAATTGTGAAAATTAGCGCATGTATTCAACCAAGGGGTGTCCAAACTCGCTCCATATTCATATCACTTATATCATATTAATTCGTATCTCAAAYAGATAACTGATGCTAAACAAATGTGGCATTGGATTGAAAATACGTTCATTCCAGGGCTTTATCAAAACAAGTGGTACAATGGACAAACATTCCTGGATGAAAGAGAGAATTTTATTTCAGATAAAAGAGCTGTTTTGATCAGTATGCCTAGAATGCGTCAGGGTCGCGTCAAGTCYGGTAATTTGATAAATGAATTCTATGATTGTTTTTGTCATTGAAAATCTGAAAGATGCTTTCTAACTCTATAGAGAATTGTGAARGTACCAAAGACTACCCCAAACTTCAGWATCTGTTTCCCACGTGCTATCCACATTACTCCATGACCAAAGCAGATGAAAGTCCGCCTTCAACTTTRAAYAATCCACAAGGCARCGTRAAACTGAAYGACAGCGTGCTKAGYGGTGAAATTGGATTTGAACGAATGTGTCTTCAGCCCTTTATTGTTCAATCAGCCAGTAATCTTGGCACACTGCCAGTTGTAACAAGCGATGCAACYTATTCTGGCAGTGGAATGGTAGCCGATTTGGGCTATGACTATGCAACTGCAAGGGAAGTAGTGATTAACTTGAAAGAAGACCGTTGGATTTCCAGRCAGACAAGAGTAGTATTTGTAGAATTCGTAGTGTTYGAGCCTACATCRCTACTCTATGTTTTTGGTCGTTTCACTTTTGAGAAGCAGCCGACGGGGGCCATATTGTCATCACACAGGATTGAACCATTCGCTCTATATGGAGTAGGCCAGAGTGCATTTAGAACTCTTCTCGATATAGTACAATTGGCATTGGTTATTTTTATAGTGGTACTATTCATAAGGCTTATCTTAAAACTGAAAAAAGAGAAAAAAMTATTTTTCAGAGATTTTTGGAACATTCACCAGGTTTTTATGCTTATTCTTGCTTTGGTATTAATTGCTCTTATCTTTGTCCGAGAAACCTATGTCAGAAGTCTGATCAAAGCGATACAGGAGAATCCATATTCAAGAATGAGCTTCGATTATGTTCAGTCCGGCACCGATGTGGTAAACTCTATTGCTGCTGTTGTGGTTTTTCTTGCGACTCTAAAACTTTTGAAACTTTTCAACTTCAACATGAAAATCCAGACTTTTGTTCACGTTATAAAGCTTTCTAAGCCATTCTTGGTGACTTATGGATTGATTTTCTTGGTGACTTTCTTTGCATTTGCACAGATGGCAACCTTTCTCTTTGGTCAGATCATCCCTATGTATTCAAATATTGTCCGATCGTTTGTAAATGTCTTCCAAATGGCTCTAGGAAATGGAGTGTATTTTCACGAATTGAAAGGAATTGATCACATCCTCGGTCCTCTTTATATCTTCACTTTCTTCATGATCACAACACTGCTTTTAGTAAACTTTTTTGTCGCAATCCTAAATGATGGGTACGTTGATGGATGTGAATCAGTGGCGAGYGAAGAAAATGAAGACGCAATTATGGCAGCTTTTATGTCAACCTTTATAAARTCATCCCTGAGAGATATCTCCAAGGAACTTAAAGCGATACCAAGGCAAAAGCGACATATATCAGGAAGTGAGAGCGAAAGCGAGGGAAAAARSCCAAGAACGAAAATCAAAGAGCCAATTTCAAATGAAGCAGAATACTTCTTATACTGATTTTGGACTATGTCTATCTGTAGTACAAAGAGTTTCAGCTACTTCTTAAATATGCTTAATGCTCATGGATTGGAGCAGGCATCATGGATTGCACAAAATGCACGTTTACCTTAACGTTTAGCTAGAGTGYGTATTTGAAATCCCGTTATCCGAGTAAACGGGTTCTTTTGACTATTGTATAGGAATGGAGTTTCATTAATATATCGATCTAAAATACAATGATGAAACTGATCGCAAATATCATATTTATCCCAAGTGTAAGATAAGACTCARAGGTTGCATTTGCAAATTTTACACGCAATGTCCAGTTATTCAGTCCATTATCCAGTGTCTGGCAGGTGGTGTCGAATGAGATACCGTACTTTTTGTGCTTTTGTATTTTAACATGCAACTAGTAAGACTATGAACCCTGCTGAGCTCTGAGACTATTGCAGACTAACTGGATATTTTGTAGATAATGAAATTCCGATAGCGAAGCATGCAACTGACTTTATTAGGTACGATAGTCAACAAATCCGTTGTCTCTGCGTTGAAGATTTCCTTGCCTCGTCATTTGATTTGATCATGTGATGTGTAAGTTAAACACTTAATCAGTTAACTCATTCCTGTCCGTGATTTATTTCTGAATTTAGGATGTTTTTGAGACTGAT